GTAACACACTGTGAGAGCAAATAATACATTGTACTTGTGTTTTAATAGCAGAGACTGTAAAACTAAGAGAATGTTTTTTCTAATTTTTCAATGTCTTCAATATCATAGAACTATAATACATCAGAATAGCAGATAGCAATTAGAAACTAATCTCTTCTTATATTACATGAATGTTCTTACTACAAAAGTTATAAAAATGTGACCATTTTCTTTGAGGTTTCATATTATTAGATCAAATTCTATAGTCAAATTGGGCATAGAAAATGGTGAGAAAATACAGAGAGAAATAGCAGATAAGCTGAAGAGAGGTAACTTTTAGCATACAGGTAGTGTACACATTTTGGCCTTCAAAAATAATTTGGTTAATGAATCAATTAATAGAAGCATAGAAGCATGGAACAAAAAGAACTAATCACTAATCTTTTATTCACCTTAATATTATCACATGTATAAGCACATATATAAATATGTATGTAAAGCCCAGAAACAGTTCAAGTAGAAGCATATTTAAATATATATAACAGAAATTTGTTATATGAAAAAAGAGACCTTTCAAATCTATGAGCAAGACAAGGATTTTGGAAGTCGGTATAAAGTAATTAGGAGAATAGATTCTCGGGTCATACCTCTTGGTTCTAATTTTAGCTCTTCTGTTTAATAGCTGTATTACCTTGAGCAAATCACTTAACTGTTCTTCACCTTCTTTATCTGAATGTTGGAGAGCATAACACTACCTACCTTGTTGGATTGTAAGAATTAACAGAGGTAATAATAAGTGCAAAGCATTTGGCAGAGTTTCTGGCTCATAGTAAAGCACTATGAATACTAGTCCTTATTATTAGTCAATAAATGGCTAACCACTTAGAAAACAACAGGGTGTTCCCCTGTCATATCTATGAAAAATAAAATCAGATGGATTAAAGTATTGCATTTTAAAAGTATAACTATAAAAGTAGAAAAGACAATACCTCTGAATATTGATAATCTTGTGTTAAAGGAAAGCGGGTAGCACAAAGCCATAGACCTATGGAAGACTGCTTAAATTTTAAACTTCTGATGGAAAAAAAATATTTATAAAGACAAAGGATCCACAGCAGAAGAGGAAAATATTTACAGTGTATAATACAAAGGGTTATCATAATTTATATAGAGATCTTACTATCATTTTCCTATAAAATAATATTATATCAAGTAGATATTAAACATAAAAAGATGGTATATCTTATAACTTCACTGCTCTTTCTAACCTCAGAGATTTCTCAAACTCTTAGTAACTTTTTCCCACATGAAGGAAACAACTTAAATGGTACTTCAGCTGGAAGATCTTTTCTGATCAATCTAAATGAGATCTCCCTAAATTTCTTTCCCATGGCATTATTTATTCCTTTCTATCATAGCTCTTGGTTTTCATCACACATGTATGTGCATTGATTTCTTCCCCTTTTCCCTCACTAGACAATAAACTCATGGGGATGGACCATAGAGTATTTGCCACTCTGCAGTCAGCCTCTAGCATATAGCAGGCATTTGAAGTAATGAAAATGAATATCATAAAGGGTCTTGTACACCATGTTAAGGCATTTAGCTTTTATAGCTAAGATAGTAATAGAAGAATTTTAAGCAGGATAAATCCTTCTTGGGCTTCAGTGGAGGGTGGGTGGGGAATGAACTGGAAGGGAACATGACTGGAAGCCAGGTGGTGGATTAGAAAAGGAATTGAGACAATCCAAGAAATTATGAAGCTCTACACTAAGGAAGTTTAATGAAAATATGGAGAAGAGAAATGAGACTATTTGAAATTAGACTATTTTACTTGAAGCAGAGTACATCTAGGGAAATAATGAGAATGAAATTTGATTTTGGATTTTAGGCCAGACTGTAAACCTCTAATTCTATATCAAGACATTTGTAATTCTTGGGGCACCTGGGTGGCTCAGTCGTTAAGCGTCTGCCTTCGGCTCAGGTCATGATCCCAGGGTCCTGGGATCGAGCCCCGCATTGGGCTGCCTGCTCCTTGGGAAGCCTGCTTCTCCCTCTCCCACTCCCCCTGCTTGTGTTCCCTCTCTCACTGTGTCTCTCTGTCAAATAAATAAAATCTTTTAAAAAAAAAAACAAAACATTTGTAATTCTTTAAGGAGTAAAAAGTCAATGACAAATTTTGGAAATAGAGTTTTGTTTTGTTTTTTTTTTGTTTTGTTTGTGTGTTTAAACCATTTTAATTGGCCCTACTAAGTTATTGGGATATAGGGAATAGACTTCTGGGACCATACAGAAGTTGAATATTTGGTTTTATGAATCAATACTCCCCAACTCAGCCATAAATCTTTAGGCCCAAGGTCATCTCAGTGAAGACATTTTGGAATTCTGGTAATTATCATCAAATGAACTTCCTTCATGATTATCATCACTACGGCCACCACCATCGGTAATAATGGCAGCAGTGACAGCAACAACATGAACACATTTATTGAGCAATTACTCTGTATAGGGCTCTGCAGTGTGTTCTTGAGTACAGAGAAATCTGACATACTCCCTGACATTAAAGAGGGTAGAGTATATGCATTGAAATACACTAGCCATGTGGAGTAGCATGTGATAAAATGAGTTATAGGAAAGTGATTGCTGCCAGAATCCAAATAAGAGAGTTGAGCATAGTTGAAAAGTCTTTAGGAAAAGCTACATGGAGGAGGTGAGACTTGAATAGGCCTTCAAGGAAGGAACAAATTAAGATAAATATAAAGGAAGGGCAACTACTCAGACAGCATGGTAAGAGCAAAAGTGGAGGTGGAGTTCCCACATCTGTTTTAAGGACAAGCAGACATGTGGACAAATGCTTTGACTAAAGCATCAAGTTTATAAAGGGAAGTAAAGGAAGTATTCAGAGAATTGGATGGAAACAGATTGTAAGGTGTCTTTGATGTCAAACTAATGATGGTTTATTTTGAATAGACTTACAATCACTTATTTCAAGGAAAGTGGAGAATCAATTACAAATTTTGAGCAAAGTAGCTACTTGTGGAAAGTTGTTTTTTAGAATTTTTAGAGGATAAATCTAATGAGCATGTTCTCGTTTCATCTTAGAGATGAAAATTCATGTTGATAAGACCAGTTACTATGGCAATATTTTAGGGGAAAAAAGAGAACCTTATGTGAGAAAAGAGGAGGAAATAATATGAGATTTTTTTTCTTACCTTTTATTATGAAAAAATAAAAAATAAAAAAGTAGATGGAATAATATAATGAACCCCCATATATTCACCACTGAGCTTCAAAAATGATCAATTCATGACCAATCTTATTTTCTCTCTCTTCCTACCTATCTCTTTACCTCTAGGTTTTTTGAAGTCAATCATCAATACCTTTAACTAACATATATTTGAGTATGAATTTCTAAAATATAAGGACTCATTAGTGAACGTAACCGTAATACCATTATCATACCCAAATAATTAATAATTTCTTCACAATCCCAAATATGTACTTAGTGGTCAAGTTTCTAATTTTTATATGAGTTTTTTTATAATTCATTTCTTTGAATCAGTATCCAAATAAGGTCCTTTTAGTGTAATTAGTTAATGATGTTTCTTAAATATTTGTAATCTTTAATTTCATTTTACATTTCTTTTTTAATCTTGAACTTTATTAAAATGACAGAGACAATATTTGCTGATTTCATACTCATGGTAATATTTATAATGTTCTTCTGTCTCCTGTATTCCCCACAAAATGGTGGTTAAATTTAAAAGCTTGAGCAGATTTAGATTTTTTTTTTTTTTGACAAGAATTGTTTATAGGTTGTGCTGTGTATTATCAGGGGACACATAGTATTTGCCTGTTTCTGTGTGTGTGTGTGTGTGTGTGTTATAGGGTGTAATGGGTTTCTTTCTTTACTTTAAAAAATTATCATAAACTCATGTTAAAATATATTTGATGCATTTCAATCTATTGCAATTATCCTTATTAATGTTCAGATTGTCCTATCTTTGCCTGATTGGGAACCTCTTTAAATTGACTTCTGCATCTTTTTGATACAACCTTGGTGGACTTTGAGAGCTTTCTAACTCCCTTACATGACAAGATGTCCCAGGATCATCTTTTAAATTTTCTACCCAACACTCAGAATCACCCATTCTCCAAGAAGACTTTATTACTTGTGTTGTGAAATGGTAGTTAAAGACTACAAATGTGGGGCACCTGGCTGGTTCAGTCAGCTGGGTGTCTGCCTTCAGCTCCGGTCATGCTCTCAGGGTCCTGGAATCGAGTTCCGCATCAGGCTCCTTCCTCAGCTGGGAATCTACTTCTCTGTCTTCCCCTATTGCCCCTCTCCCCCTTCTCATGTTCTCTCTCTCTCTCAAATAAATAAATAAAATAATTTAAAAAATTTATGAGTTTGTTGTTAGTTCTAATTCAAATTCAGGTGTACATGGTTATTACCTAACCTTATTGATCTTATATTTGTTCTCTGTTTCTCTCATGCCAACACTCCTGGTTTTCCATGATAATCATATAAAACCTCATTTTCTTTCTCCTTCAGTACAAAGACAACAGTCTTATAGTAGCAATACAACACTGCTCCCTATAATATAAATCCTCATAATGTATGATTAGTTATTTTTTTGGACGTCAGAATATATTCAACTAAGGATATACAGACAAATTGTATTTTAAAGTCACTGTAAATATTTTCTCTTTTTGTGTTAGGTCACTTGTTTCTCCATGCCTGGATTCCATACTGTTTTAATGGCAGAAGCTTTATAATATGGGCCAGTATCTTCTAGGGATAGGTTATTCTCATTCTTCTCTTTTTCAGAGTTTCTTTTATTTCAGGGTTACTGCTACCTTTTTATATTTTATTTTTCCAAGTGAACTCTGTTTAGCTTTAAGGAAAATAAAACCCTAACGATATTTTATTGTGTTGACGTATTTATGTTGTTAAGTCTTCCCATCAAATAACATAGTATGTTTTTTCTTTCATTTACTTCTACTTTTGTGTCTTTCAGGATTATTTTGGAGTCTTCTGGATATGAGAGGGATTAAAAAGGTGAAACAATAGGACTGGAATAAAAGGGGAGAAGTAGAGAAAACCATGGTTTCCATACTCTTTGGAGAATAATTCATTTGTTGGTTTGTTTGACAGAAATGGGATTATTTGAAGAGGTCAACACAGGGAATAATGGTGAGTTTTCATTGTAGTACCAGATCTGAGTTCTGTCTAAACCTTACTGGCAATTAAATATATCAATCAAATTTATATAGGAACAAATATTATTGAAATAAAATTAGAAGTAATCCCTGAAAGAGTAAATCACATAATTATTCATCCTACTTAGTCACATGACATGAAAAATTGTTCCTCTTAGAGCTGTGTAGTTCCATGCAAAATTGTAGAGATTTTCCTCTACCACCTTTTCACGTGCTTCTCGTACTGTAACACCTTCTTTGCAACTTCCCTACCCCTACTGCCACCACCCCATCCTGGATTTGAATGTCTATATCATGCTGTAGTCCTTCAAACAGCGCCTATATCAGAAATGAGGGCCCCCGCCTCTGTCACCCACCTGTATCTACTGTCTACCAAATCCTGTTGAGTATACCTCCTAAAAAAAAAACAAACAAGGAGATTGAGTCTACATCCTAAAAAGCTCTTGAAAAATCACTTATTCCTCTCCATTATCATTGCTTATGTCATTGCTTTACCCAGAACATCATTTTCTCACCAATTATAGTGAGATCAACTACTCATTACTCATCTTGCTTCATTTATCCTCTTGTTTCCTTTCTTATGTGACTACATGTGGCAATATTTATCCTATTTATATCTTCAAGCCATTTTCTGTACTATTATCTGAGTCATCTTTAAAAATACAAATTAAATACTTCTATGACCCCCATTGTCTTTTTAAATTTAAATTCAATTAATTAACATATAGTAGATTATTAGTTTCATTGAAGTAGAGTTCAGTGATTCATCAGTTGTATATAAATGCAGTGCTCATTACATTTTGTGCCCTCCTTAATGCCCATCACCCTGTTGCCCCATCCCCCCCCACCTCCCCTCCAGCAATCCTCAGTTTGTTTCCTATGGTTAAGAATCTTTTATGGTTTGCCTCCTCTCTGATTACATCTTGTTTTATTTTTCCCTCCCTTCCTCTATGCTCCTCTGTTTTGTTTCTTAAATTCCAAATAGGAGTGAAATCATATGATAATTCTTTCTCTGATCAACTTATTTCGCTTATCGTAAAACCCTCTTGTTCCATCCACTATGACCCCCATTGTTTAAGCAAATTCCCAATGGATATTCTAGAAAATGTCCAAGGGTCCCATGACAAATACTGTATATTATATTCTTAAGAGAATCACAGGGTAAATTGACTATAAGAACCCCTTCTAGTAGAGAAACCTATTTAAATGTGATCAATTTTATGGCCTGGATTTGTGTGATTATGGACTATTTTAAATACACCTATCAATTTTTTGTCAATCAATTGTTCTGAAGACATAATTTAGGATATACTGACGTAAAGAATAAAGTTCAAACTTCGTTATTATGAATGACTTTAGTATTGCTGTTGCTTCATCTTCCATGGCTCCTTCATATTCCTAATATTCCATCAATGGTATAGCTTTACACAACACTGGTGCACAGTTCATACTCATACACACTGTCGACAGTTCTGAACTTGCCATCCTAATCAGTCTCTTTGTCTTTTTGTGTATGCAGTACCATTTTTCCACATTTATTTTGATCCCATCATCAGCCTAATAAATTCCCACTTGTCCTTCAAGAGCCAGTTTAGATGTTACCCCCTCAGTACCAGTTTGAGCATCATCTACACAGAGACAAAACAGAAGCGGTATGATGCCTCAAAGAATACATGCAAAGTGAGACAAAAGCCAAAAACATACCTTCAGTAATGCCTATATTTAGGAATAAGTCCCCTTCCTTCAGTAAGAAGCCCCATGAAGGAGACTGAGAGGAATTTTTAGATTTATAGGATGAAAAGCAATGGGCATTTTGTTCCAGAGTCCAGCTAAAGTGAAAAATTGTTAATAGAAATGCTCAAATACTACAGTTATAGATAGGAGAAAGAAGAAAACTAAAACGACCCAGAATCTTATTGATGATCTTAATGAAACAGTTTGAGGAGAGTTATTGAATACTGCTAGAACACTGTGGTCCTTTATCCACTACCCTCATACTCCAGGAATACACAGAGGACTTGAAACTCCATTCACCACCACGGAACACACACACACACACACACACACACTTCCATATAAAGAAAACCAGATGGATTGGATTGACAGTTTGGGATGAAGTTTAAGAAAAGAAGGTAAAGGATCCTGGGGTGGAGGTCATTGAGGAGGCATGGCAAATGAGAAGGAAGCTATTAGAAAAGGGACTTTGCTCCCGATTCTCCTTGGAGGAGATGGAGATCCTGCTGAAGGGAAAAAGTAAAGAACTTTTGTTCACCATTCTCTGTATTTGATGTATACTTGGTTGTCTAATAGGGACAAATTTCCCACAATTTCAAATGTTAAGGGGTTAATAAACAAGTTACAAAAGGAAGAAGATAGTGCTATAGCTTGAAAAGAAAGTAGAATTGAGGAAAGGATTTTGCTAGCCTGAACGAAGGAGACAGGAGAAAGGAACATGCTAAACAGGCAATAGAGAGGAAAGAATTAATGGAGCAGAGTACTAGAAGAAGGTATTTATATATTTGTGTTTATGTGGTATGTGCATATATAGTGTGTGTGTATGTGGTGTGTGTGTGTGTGTGTGTGAGATGTGATGTGGATGAGCGAGGGATTAGATCATGGTAATATAATATTTTTATTTCACATTCAATTCTTTGAACAATAACTCAGGTTTATAAACTATTAATGTTTGATATCCCTATACACCTCTCCCATGCACTGATCTAAGAATGTTGCCACCTTCTCACTATAATGTTATATGGATCCCATTTGTCTTACATTTCCACAAATATATTTTTAAAATTTTTTTTTAAAGATTTTATTTATTTGAGAGAGAGAGAATGAGAGACAGAGAGCATGAGAGGGAGGAGGGTCAGAGGGAGCAGCAGACTCCCTGCTGATCAGGGAGCCCGATGTGGGACTCGATCCCGGGACTCCAGGATCATGACCTGAGCCGAAGGCAGTTGCCTAACCAACTGAGCCACCCAGGCGCCCACATTTCCACAAATATTAAAAAAAAAAAAAAAAAGGCCTTACTCTATGGCCCTGTGGACATTTGAAGAGAAAACGTTCTTAGTATTAAACAGGCAAAGAAAAAGAAATGTGTTTTTTTATCTTACATATAGAAAACTCATATTAAAATTCTCTCTAGACATAGAACTGACCATATATGCTTTTGACTGTTCCTTTTTATTCTCAGTATACTGGCAACATGGAATACATTTTAGAGGTTGGACCACTTAGGGAATACATATGGAACTTTTGAGCAAAATAATCGGCTAGATATTTCTGTACTGTTTTCATAATTTAATGTTATTGAAGTCAGTCCTCAAGGAGGGGAAGAGTCACATATCTCTTTTTCATTTTGGAACAATCACAACATTTAATCAGTAGAGAATTTTAACTTTATTTCACAAAATCTTTAAGGAGTGGGATTTCTTCACGATCTATGAAATGAAGGTTGAATAGAAGTAATAGGAGGCCTCCTTGGTACATTGTCACTCAAGCATTCAGAAGTTTTATCCTGCCTGGAACATTCCTTACACATGATTCTTATTTCTCAGCTTCAAACTACACCTAGGAGGAATCTTTTGTTCTCAGTGCTGCCAAAGCTCCCATCTTCCAGCAGTGACCTCAGTTTAGCACCTGCTCATAAGATGTGTTTGCACATTGTTGGTACGTTTTGGTGACATGTATGTTCCCATCAAGGAGACTGTCATAGAATTCAGGAGATGTTAACATTTTTCCATCTGTGTGTGAAAGTGACGTTTCCTGTTAATTTTGTTCTTTTGCTGAACTCTCCAAGCAAAAGCCTTCTGTGGGAGGCGGGATGATGTCATTATAGTCATAGCATAAATTTTTCAACCTTTAGAATGAGACATATTGTGGCATATATTTCACTACTTTTAAAAGCAGTGAAATAAAAACTTGGAGGATGATGATATCAATTTTATATTTTCAAGTGTGGGGGTTTCCAGAGCCTTGAGAATGACTCCAGGGCTAAAATTGCCTCTGGCACATGGATTTCTTCTGTCGCCTTGGGAGAAGCAAGCCCATCCCTGGACGTCTGTGTTTATGAGGCCAACAGATTTGGCTAGTTAATTTCAGAGGTATTGAGACTTTGTGCAGGCAAAATAGTCTAGCAGTAGTTACTTAAAAATAAAAAGAAATCAAACTTCTGATTTCGGTTCTGACATGGGAAAGCTGGGAAGTTGTCACTCCCATTTTTACAACCAAAAAAATGTTGAGCAAACAAAATCAATGACTTTTCTTGGGCCTATCAGAGGACTGTGGTTGCAGAACAAACTGGCATGCTGAAATCCAGAAAGGCAAATGTGGAGTCACAGTCTCCATCTCCTTTCCTTAAGAAGAAGCTACTAGAGTCATACATTGTTGGACACACCTAAATGATAATTTTGATGAGTTGTTAGAGGCTGAGTCTGGACTAACTTGAGAGGGAGAGGTTTCTTGGGGCTGTAGCCTTAAGAGGCCCCTCACACTTTCTTGCGTTCTTCCTTGAAGACCTAAGAAAGATCCCTTCTTATATTTGCAAATGACATATCAGATAAAGGGCTAGTATCCAAAATCTATAAAGAACTCATCAAACTCAACACCCAAAGAACAAAGAATCCAATCAA